TCTCTCTCTCTCTCTCTCTCTCTCTCTCTCTCTCTCTATCTTTCCTTTGAAATAAATTTTTAAATCTTTTGTTTTATTGTTTGCCGTAATGCGTATCGACCAGAATGCCTAAATAGACACATTATGAGCGGCTTTGTTTTCAAAATGACTCGATTCATAAGGAAAAATGGATGGCATTAAAATTCACCATGGGTTACATTGCCTTTCATTGTTCTTTTTTTTCCTTCAAAAACTTGCGCATACTTTTTTGTCATTGCAACGAACAAACACTAACTACAAAAGCAATGGATGTCCGTTCACGCCGCAGGTAGTATTCGTTTTTCGTTAAAGCCGCTTGTTAACTCTGAAAATGTAATGTGCACTGTGTAAAACATAGTTATTATTATCACATAACCAAGCATTGGTTTGTGTTTCAAAGTTTTTGAGTTAAATTGTAACCAAGCCAAGAAGTGAACTGATTCGTAACACAATTGAAAATGCATACTGTGAAAATAATGATCATGAAAACAATGGAACCGAAGGACATTTCACTTTGCTTCGATTTGCTCTTGGATACTGTACGCATAACAATGCGTATTCGTCTAGACACAAGCATACGCAACACATTTACTGAAGATGAAATAAGGATGAACAGAAGGCGGAGCAGAGAGGCATGGATGTATTTGCTCAGCATCATCAGCATTGAGCTAGGCAATTTTCTCAATTTCAATTGATGTCTTAGTTCACGGGAATTTTAAGGAGTGATTTACATTCGTATCCCGTCGCTTCAATCATCATAATTAAGAAACCGAAAACCAAGTGATTATTCATTCTTGGCACAATATCAATTAATGAATGAAACGTAAATGACAAAACATACTGCTTAAGATTCAAGCATTGAACGGCTGTGAAATGATTTTGCCGTTTAGAAATAACCAAACTCACTCAAATCATTTCAATTCAATTAACAGCCTTTGTTACTAAAATACCACTTCCAATTGATGATCATCAACGACCATTGACCATCATTTAAATAAATACACATTTTTTTATTGAAATATTGTTGCAATGGCAATTTATTCTAAAATCACCTTTTCACAAATTGTTATATCATTCAATCTTTCGATATTTCAAGTGCTCTGTGCTGTACAGCCTCATGTGTTGTTTAACCGAACAGAATGTGGTTTGATTTTTTCCGTTTAAGTCTTCCATTCTCATTGTTCGTCTTGAGGCGATTGTGGTTCTTGAATGCATTTCAACATCTCGCGTTGATGACCACCGAACATCTTTTTTTATTGAGATCATAACAATTTGCTTCGGTTGTCCATCCGGTTTGTGATTTGGGGATTTTCGGTTGAATTACACCGGTTTTAATAGCTACCATTTATTGAAGCAATCGAGATTCCATGTTGCAAAGAATCACCTGCACTTGATGCTGATTCGCTTGTCAGTCCGTCACATGGTTGATATTCAATTGTTGCTTCTAGCAAATCATGCCGTGCTTTAAAATTTACGACCTCCGCCTCTGGTGATATGGCCGCTTCTAATAAATCGTGTACCTTGTGCCGTGAATCAGTCATTAAAATGTCGGTTTTCGAATGCAAAAATGAATTGAAAAAAGCAAAACTTGAAAACTTTGTTTGATTTTCATGAACTTCAAAAATCATTAATCACATGAATAGAGAAGTAAACATGAATTTCGTTGCTTCTGGATTAGCAAAGGTCAGTTTTGTAATAGAATGAAATATTGGAAGAGATATATATGTATATGCTGATGGTTCAATATATACACTTCACTTTTCTGAATAATAAAACGAATAAAAGGATAAAAATGAAAAGAAAACACGATTTTAAAAGAATATGTCGAGCCGAAAAAAATGAGATTTCTTTCCACTTCAAAAAATGTATTTCTCAATGATTTACATTTGAATTATGAATTGTGCGAACTCAATGAATGTAATTAAGAAACCAAGAAACCATTGAGTCAAATTGTAATGCTGATCGATGTCGATTGAACAATTGTATCTATTCATCTATTGCATGATATCAATCGATTATTGCTATCCATTCTATTTGATTCGATCTTTTTGTCGTATTGTTTCAGATTGTCTTTTACCCAACTGGTCGTTTGTCTCCGGTATAAAACATCAAGAGTGGATTTTTTTGTATTTGAAATCGTTGAGTACAGTTTTATATGGTTGCATGCATTCAATGCCCATACATTTTCTACTGCTACATCGTATTCCTTAGCATTTTGTGTTTTATTTTTCTTCAAAAATATGACGCTTTGTCTATGACTATTTTGTGAAGGTGTGCAATGCACGAAAGGTAATCGTGGTAAAACTGCAAGTGAAATAAAGAATAAAAGTAACAACATAAACGAAAGAAATGCACCATGTTTTCTTCCACGATATGCTCAATGCTCATTGTATTCAATCGATATGTTTTCTATATTTCTCTCTCTCTATCCCTTTCTTTCGTTTTCTCTAAGTTCTTTTTCTATTTGTCCAAATCCATTGTTATCATGAGAAGGAGGAGGAGGGAAAAAACCAAAAAAACTTTCAATACAGTATTATCATCATTACGACAAGATTTACTATAATACCTTTTTGCTTGTCGAAGTCTCTTCGGCTGAAGAGAACATGAATTGAATTCTCTCACTCTCTGGTATCGAATGCAACATTTTATTAACCGAAAAATACGATTTATAATCATATTTCATCGTTCGATTCATTCAGTTTCTCTTTGGTTCAATGCGATAATAGCCAAACACTGTTCCGTCGTTTAAGTGCTAAATATCCCGAGAAATGTACATATAATTCTTTTATATTTTCAAATGTGTAGACGTATGTGAACTGCATCCTTTCCACATTGGACTGAATGAACAAAAAGAACAAAAAAATCCGAAGCCATTTTGAATGGAGCTCAATTTCTGACTGAACATTATTGTTCGAATGCAATCATCTAGATTTTCATCGTTTGTATTTTGATCAGAACATTCTTCATTTCGTGCATTTCATTCTCACTCGTCTTGATCCCCCATTTACTTAAATGGCTCGATTTCATTCAATTGGTATTGTTTTCATGCATCTTTTATATTTACGATTGTCTATAAAGAAAAATATTCAAATTCAATAACAATTTTATGGCATATAAGGTCAGTCGAATGTGTTTATGTGCGGTGTAAGACGATTACGTGTTCGGTAAATCATCATCATGGTTTTTTTTCTCATTCCTTATCAAATATTTCGGTCTCACCGAAGTACGCTCTTACCGGAGCATTTAAAATGGATTGAAAATGACAGAAAAAAGACCGAAAATGAAAAATAACTCATTGACATTCTTCGATTAACGTTGTGATTTCATTGAATCGGTTTGGTTGCCTCAAAACGAGAACTGAATGTATATTTTATATATTTCGGGATGGTTTTTTTTTCGTTTATTTTGAAAAATGTGTCGCGTAAGTGCCTTTTAACAATTGGTTGACTATTTTGCTTCTGTTTTTCGTCTTCATTCCACATTTTCGTGTCTCATTCACGATCATATACACACAAATCATGTGCAT